ATGATAGACGTTCTCTTCTTCAACTTACGATATATGGCAAACTATGTAGTATTCTATATCTAATAAGCAATGAGCAATGTGGAGTCTCCACAGGCAATGGGCACGCCAATACAGAAAGTAAGTGGTCAACTTTTATATAGGAAAATGGAATTCTCGTCTTACTTTATCTTACTCGCAATTTGTCCTTATTTGCTCACCGTTTAGACCTACCCTGGACTACGGCAAACATTTTAAAACCAAAATCAGCTTAATCGGCCCAGCCCTTCTCGAGTTTTAATCAGACAAACGAACAACAATTCATTTTTATTTATATAGATAACGAAGTTATGTGTTGTCTTCGAAAGTGCCCCAACTAAAATAAATAAAGCCAAAAGTTTATTAAACTTAAAGATATTTCCTATACACTAAAATAAAATTTTTGAAATATATCAGAAATTGCCAAATTGGCGTAATTTAAAAAAAAAATCGTTTTTTTTTTTTTTTGTTTGATAAAAAATTGTGGGTTTTTTCATATGTTTGATAATATATGTATTATAAATTTACATATAAGTATGTAGATATGCTATATATGTAGAATATATGACATACTGTCATAATATCCTCAAAAACTGAATATATTACAAAAATATTTTATGTAAATCACATTTCACTTTGATTTTCATACGCATACACATTTCAGGACATATGTACATATATACATACTGTGGATCAATAAAGTTTACGTACACCTAGTTCTATTAAATTACAACACGTTTATTTGTTATAAAATGAGTAAATGTATCCGAAGATTTCAAGGAAAAAATTTATTTTCAAGTGGGCTTAAAACGGCTGTTAATAGCGCCACTTTCATTTACAACAGGATACCGACCCAAAACACAGGGTCATGTACGTGTACGTGAATAGTTGTTATAGAATTAAAAATAACTCTTTAGGTCCCCCAATCACTAGACTTTAATCCTATTCAAAACATCTGGATATAAAGCTGGAATCACTGGATCATCGGGTAAGTGAGTCAAAGTATCCGGAAATAATAGAAATCAAGAGGAGAGCATGCGTGGACGTCTCGGGACAATAATTGCAATAAAATGTAGGCCACAAACCGCTAAAATTATTGTAATTTTAAACTTTAGCATTCATTTTTTTTTTGTGTAAACAAAAAAATATTTTGATATGTTATATTTAATTTTAAATATGAATCTTTTGAAATGGATAGAAAAAAAAATTATTCATTTTATAACAAATAAACGTATCGTATTCTAATAGAACTAGGTGTATGTAAACTTTATTGGCTCACTGTATGCACATACGTAAGTACAATTCAAATACAAATCATGGTATCGTATATCAGTAATATAATGTGCCCATACTACTCTATACATATGTACATACATACATACATGCATATGTGAGTATTATATTCCCACACAAATAATACATACACAAGCCCATATATATACATATCTGCGTAAACATGTAAATATATTATGTCGCCCGCATAAACTACAAATATTGTTCTACAAAAACAACAATCGTCTCAAATAGAATCAGCAGCGTCACAGGTCAATGTGGGAACCAAACAATCGATGCCAAAATTTGTAGAGAAACATACAACAACAATATTTTCATTCATGAAAATATTCAAATAAATTAGAATAAAATTGACAACATTGTTTATTTGGCGATTTTCAAGTAAGGAACGTTTAAAAGAAATATTCAATATCCGCTTAAATTAAAATCATCCTCTTAGCTACCTATGTCTTGCTGCATCTCACGGTTTGTTTTTTGAAATACTTCGAAGTTATTGTTTTAAGTACCACTCGCTTGAGTATCCGCACTCGCTTATCTTTTTATTTTTGGCAAACCATAGAAATCTGTATCGTTGATTGTGGCACATAATCGAGATTGACTGTCGAAGAATGTAAAAAATATTTTTACGCGGTCGATATGTATGCAAGCTCACACATAAGCATACATATATACGCAGGTTTGTAACAGCGACAAGGGAAACGGTGACAATCGGCGGCCATTTTCGGATTTTTCACCAACAACACAATGTTGTGACGCTTTGTCGGTTTGACTCTTTAACAAACCGTGAGCATCGGCCATTGGTTGTTCATGACAACGGAGATTTCGCATGAAGCAATAAGTTTACACATTTACATACAAAGTATAATTTTCATTGAATGATCAGCTCTGTTCACGCGCCATTGTCAAAAGAAAATGGGTTTTTTCGTGATCGGTTGTCAATATAAATATATACATATATTAATACCGTGGGTTTGCAGCCATTGAGTTGATCGTGCTCAGCCCAAGATCAGCTGCCACAAATGTAATCAATACTTCCACTTGTCGTGTGTGAATTTATCGCAGGATAATTGGATTTTTTGCTGGAAACCAAAAATGCTTTTTATTGTAAAGTGTACGCGGTAGTTCGGAGAAATTCCATTCTCTGCAGCTTCCACTACTGCTAATTCCATTCTCACTTCACGCTTACTAATAATGTGAGTATGGATTATCTCGCTCCTGCTACATCGAAAGCAATCTYTGCCGCTCCATCTGCTGCTTGCTCCACTCTCTCTACTGCTACTGATAATGGTACAAATACAGCTCGGCCCAACGTGGCCGATTCAGTTTCTTCTGGTAATGTCAACGTGGATTACTGTGCTCCTGCGGCACGAATTGCTGCTATTACCAATGCTGTTAATTATGCYAATACATATGCTGATGCTGTTGCTAGGAATATCAACCCTCACAAAGCCAATCCAGCAGTTGCTGCTAAACCAGATCGCTCCTCTGTCGCTGTCAATGTTGCTCAATCAGTTGCCGTTGATGATTCTGTTCATTTGAACTCTTCTACTTCAATTACTGCTAATGAAAATTTGAAGTTAAAAGTTAGCACTAGGAACAAAAAATCCCCAGCTGCTTTAACTGTTGTTGGTGTTAATGTCAATTGTTATCTCGATGTCATCATACCCAAGTGTTTAAATAAGTTAAGTATCCACCCACTCTACCGGGGAAAACCGGCGCACCCTAGTAAGACAGCTTAATTCACCACAGCTGATGACACCGACACAACTCCCCATCCTATACACCCACTCATCAAAAAGGATGGACAACGGGAAAGCAGATACAATTCGATCTACACAAGCCGCACATAAACAATCGTTTCATACTTTCTCCTCTATACTGCGCCGCGGAATTCCCACTTCTTTCGATCGTCATCGTTCCACCCACGCCGACAGCGATCCAACACAACCTATTTCGATTCGACGCAATATATTATTAAGCAAAACATTGTACTGCACACAAAGGATAATTTTAAATAAATTACACACAACTCTGTCTTTCATTTTAAACACTCGCTCGGGGGTAAGTGCATATTAAGTCACCAGTGGTTTGTATTCCCCGAAATAATTGGGTCATTAATTATTCAGTACAATAAAAAAACCGCGTGCAGTGAAAAAACCAGTGCAGCGACTCAACCAGAACAAAAAATCAAATATCAACAACATATCCATATAACTATATACATATATCTAGCAAACAAAAAATATCAACAGAAGGTGCAGTGAAGTGAACAAACCAAACAAACAAAAAACGAAGTGCATTTCAAAAATAAATCTACCAAGCAGTTTAAGAAAACAAAAAATACGGTGAAGTGACAAAAAAATTTTCAAACATAAGTAAAATATACATCATAAAAACACAAAGCAAAAAACTAAGTGTGGTGACTCGGTAAAAATATATGCATACAAGTATATGCAATAACAAAGACTGCGGTAATAAAACATAAACTGACAGAACGAAAATATACCAAGCAGTTTCAGCAGTCACAAAAAAACCCCACGCGAATGCGAAAATAAAACAATAAGCTAAAACACAAATCGGCCGCGAAAAACCGAAGCACCAACAGAATAAAATTAAAATAAAACGGGCGGGAAGGAGGTAGCAGAAGGCGGTAACATATGAACATACATACACCCTGCATACCATACGAGTAAAAAAAATTAGAGTATTATGTTGTTTTAAATTTATTATATGCAAATACATATGTATGTATGTAATGCCAAAACGCCGCTTCAACGGCTTGATGAAAAAGGAAAAGAATCCAAACACGGTAAAATCAAAAAAAAAACAATACAACAAAAGCATTAGATATATACATTTATGTATAATTTAATAAATATCAATTTAATGCCTAGTGTATATATGTATGTAAGTACGCTTAACTTCGTGTGCTCTTAACACAATTAACCCCCCAACAAAATAAAAATTCAAATATTCACTTCCATCAGTATCCAGCAATACCCCTCATACTTGATTAAGTAATAAGCAGGATTGCTTGAAATTATTAAGCGAAGGCAAAAATTAAAATCATAGCATAAAAAACAAAACAAACAAACAGACATATGTACATGATTTCCATATACTTGTATTCTTAATTCTATAACTAAAATATAATATGTGACCTGTTCTACGAAAAGGGGAGCTAACGTGTGAAAACTAGTTTATGACTTTCACGTGAAAAGGCATCTTCCATCCGAATCAACTAAGATTTTTTGACACCTAAGGCCCTTTCCGTAGACCAGGTTACATATGTATATACATACATACATAAGTGCATGTACATATGTATACGGAAGTACAACGATATAAAATCCACCTATCTCTTACGCTGCACTGGGTACTGACAAATTATTAAAAACAAAAAAAAAATAAATTAATCTTATAATTCCAAAATAATTAATTTTAATTAAAAAATATACTCAAATCGCGGTTAAATAAAAAACTGTGGGCGCACATACACATATTCAAAGCAGAAAATAAAGTCCGGCAGTGAGAACACTGTTGGCTTATGAAATGCTTAACAGCCTTATTATCAAAAAAACCTCTCAACTGAGTTGAGAGAAAAAATTTGAGACATTTCTTGTGAGGCATATTCTGTGAGGCTATTCTGGGTCAAACCTCATAAGAAAAAAGCTTAAAAAACTCACCACGTGAGTTGAAAAGCTTTTTGCTGTCAAACAGCTGTTTTAATAAAAATAAGCAAACAAAAATGGACACACAAATAGATAATCAGCAAATGTAAGTAATTTTGCAAATTTTAAATATATATAATATGTATATATACAATAATTTCATATATTCCTAGGCGTACGAAAACGGAAAGGACAACTCAGGAGCAGATGCAACATTACGAATGTTTTGCAAGCAGCATCCTGAATTGCAATGGAGGAAGCTAACTCCGACCAACAATCAAGGGCTGCAAATACTTTGGTCGGAGTTAGCAGATAATTTAAATACCTTAAGAGGTCCAACTCGGTCGGCAGCCAAGTGGAGGGAGGTAAGTTCATAAATGCTTGTGTATGTTTCACATTATTAAAATATGTTTCCATAGTCCCTGATGCATTGGCACATGCGCAAGCGACTGGTGCAGGCCCTCCGATAAATGGAATGACTGAATTCGAGGAGCAAGCAATTACAAATTTTGGGGCAGCAGCGGTGGATGGATTGCCGGGTAATGAGACTTTGGGTCACCAGGTAATATTTTAATATTTGTCGGACTATATATTTTATTATTACATGAGGAAATAATTGGTACTTACAAGTTTTGCCGTTGTATTTAAATACAGCTCAAGCACCAGCTTCCTCGCTAACACCAGCAGTCACATCGCCTGCTCCAGCGCCCTCCCCAACAGTTGCATCGCTTGCTTCAGCAGCCTCACCAACAATCGCATCGCCTGCTCCAGCTTTCCTGTTCTTTCTATAAATCTTTCTTCTTCACCATCACCTCCAGATTCTTTATATCCTCCCATCTTATCTTATCCTATGACATCGCCTTTTTACATCCCTTCTGAAAAATTGACTGCAGCGAAGATGCTTGGAGCACTGCCAAAAAAAATGGAGGATCGAGAGAAGCGAGAGGAGGAGACCATTGCTCTGCAAAGGAAAATTRTAGAGCAAAATGTGCAGATGACAGGGGTGCTGAACCAAATGACACAAGGCTAAATTCTCTGAAAAATTAAATAAGTAATAATAAAAATGTAAAAAAATAAAAAAATGGAATAAAATAAAATGAATTATTTAAACATAAGTAGATGTCTTCTTCTTAAAGGAAGTAAAATGTACAGAGACTGTAAGTAACTTACATATATGTGACCTGGTCTACGAAAAGGAAGCTAACGTGCGAAAACTAGTTTTCTGGGAAACAGCTCTTAAAAATAAACAACCCGTTTCGTCAGTTTCTCGTTATCTCATTAATTGTTCTCCTTTCCAGAGGCTTCAAGGACGTCCAGTAAGTTTTGTTTTTGGTCGGAATATTATTATAGCTCATCGTGTAAGTTGCTAGTGTGGAACATTTAAAAAAGTAACACTGAAGAAGTGACGTTTACTCTAATACCGCGCAGCTGCTGCTGTCTTGTTTTCATTTGCCTCTCTTTCCGGATGTTCTGTTATCACATTTGTGTAAGTGTTTCTGTTGATTATCGTCTTCACATTTCGCATGAAATGAAGTATGAGTGCTGATGAGGAGTTCAGTGCTGTATGCGGACAATATTTCCATGAAAAGGATGATGAAAACAATGAAGAGGGCGATTATGATGAATACGAAGTATGTGTATTTCAGGTAGAAGATGATACCGAACAAACTTTTGTTAAGATTGACCTGTCTGTTGTTGAAGTAAAGGAGGAGGAGCCGGTAACAAAATTTCTGTCAAAAGATTGTTGTAATAATAAATGTCATACACTGATACTGATGATTATATTTTTTCGTATTTTTATTCTTCTTTCTCTACATTTTTAGGGAACTTTCAAACAAGTTATGACTTTTTGGATTCTATCACGTGAAAAAGCATCTCATCTTCCATCCGAATACACTAAAAAGTGAAAATTGATTTTTTGACACATAAGCCCCCTTTCCGTAGACCAGGTCACATATGTATATATTTATATATATTTTTATATATATATTTATAGTACATAACGCCACTGGAAATATATATAATACATACATATGTATATTATAAAGACATGATTTAACGTTCTCTTACTTTAGCACCCTCCCTAAAATTGGGGGTTTCGAAAACAATTTCGGTGTCTTGTGATTATTCTAAAACTTCTTCGAAGCCAAGGTCTGCAGCCACACCATGCTTCAGTAAAATGTTGTGAAGAACTGTACACGCGTAAATAATGAAAGACGCTTTTTCAGGACTGTAATGAAAAATGCGTTGTTTTGAGAGGCACCGGAATCGTAACTTCAAAACACCAAAGGCTCTCTCAATGATATTACGTGCTTTGGCGTGCAACTTATTGTAACGAACTTCCCTTGCATTTGAAGGTTCAGCGGCTGGCGTTAACAGCCATGGTTCCAATGGATATCCTTGTGCACCTAACAACCACGAGTCACTCTGCGTGTTATAGTACTTGTGAGGTGCATACGTGTTGGGGATGTGGTCCAAATACCAGAATCATGGCAAGACCCAGGTTATCTTGCATTGGCAGCGGTGAACAGAAGTCGATGATCACAATCCTGCCAAAAATGCAAATATATACATATGTATTAATAGAAAGATTGGTAAATAGTTTGTATAATATAGAACATTACGTACTGCTTTTACATTGAGGCTGTAAAATCCTTTCCGGTTCACGAAAAGTGAGAGAGGAGTAGTGGCGTCTGTGCTTGAGGGTGAAACAATCCCAATATGGGTACAATCGATTGCGCCGATTGTGCCCTTGATCCCAAATTTCGTGTAAAAACTTTAAGGAAAAATTTATTTATTTATTTATTTATCTTACCCCTTCTTTGTATCTGAAACATCCTGCTCGCTTGAAGGGAAATGAATTTCACTGCCCTTAACATCCACAATTAATTTCGAAATAAAGTGCAGAGCTCTAGACACAGAGGACTAACTCATAGAGATATCATATAACTATTACTAACGCATTTTTGGTAAGAGCCATGCCCGTAAAAATACAAACACGCCAGGAAACGCAGATCAAAAGATATACTCGACTTCTGCACATCATGCGGCACCAATTCACCTATAAGTACTTTACATAGCGATTTTGAGAATCGAAATGTATTTACAAATGTTGTGTCTTGCATAGTAAAAGGATCGCTTTGTCTCGTAAACCCTTCAAAATTTTCCTCCTACCAACCGATTCCTCCTCAACAACAACTGCCGCATACACAAAGAACAGTTCCTCCATGCTAGTTATAACACTGAAATATTTTTAAAAAAATTTAAATATTGATCTAAAACAAAACAAACACAGACGTTTTTGTATTGTGATGGCTGCTTTCACACGTCACAGATATTTGTGATAATAGTAAGCATTTGAGCTTTTGAATTTTCGCCAGCTGTAGTAAGAAACATTACACTAGAGTGAGTGTGGTGATTTTTGTGACGGCATCAGAATAGGGCTGTAAATGTAATCTAATCTTTTAAATTTTCAGTCTGAACATGGTATAAGAATGATCATAAACATACAAAATATTCGTGCATACTTATGTAAATAGCTCATTGATCTCTTCAACGAGCTCTCAATCGCTCAAATCATGAGCAGGAATAAAGGGATGTTCAACTTATTCCAGTTTGAGAGCGCTTCAAAATAGGGGTTTTTTATAATATTTTCCATTATGGCAAGATCGAACAAAATAAGAATTTTGGGCATTTTAAATTAAAACACTCAACATTTAGTGCGAATAAAAATTACTCTACAGTGGTTATTTATTATATGGAGAAACTATTTGAATCCTTTTAAAGTATATTAGAACAACTGACTTTTGACCTTTCAATACCCAATAAAAGGTTTTAAGCTTGTTAGCTCGCAATCATTAAATGTTTTTAATCATTTTAAATTGAAAATAATACTATGGTGCTTCAAATTACAAAAAATTGCATCAAATACTTTTAAATTTCACAAATTTATTTAATTAAATTTTATTTATGTATTAAATTAAAACACATTTTTTACAACAGATCCCTCCGATTACATATTTTTTGGTAAGATTTCAATCTGGCCATCGCTCGTTTCCAATTGATAACAATTACACTCTCACTTTCACTGAGAGAGGAGTTAAAGATCTCTTTATTTCTGACATGAGTACCTATTTACGCATGTTCATACAAGCACACTTATTAGAGTATGCCAAATTACACAACATTAGGTCATAAGATATATAAATTAATAAATTAAGCAAAAAAAAAAAAAGAGTCGAATAAATTGTTTTATGATAATGTATTTTTAGTAATTGGTTTTCAGTTTTTTTGATGTTTTACATTTTACATTTATAACTAAAAAGCTAGATATGCGCAAAGTCAGCAAAACAACATTGCCTTGTTTGTGTTATTTTTCTATGCTTCCTCTATAATAAATGAATATAAGTTAATTTGTAACCATAAAATTACATAATTTCTTAACTCACATTTCAAATCTGTCATCGACTATTATCTTGATTTTCTTTGGTTTCTGTGGCAATTTTTGTTTCGAACAGCAAACCAATAATATCTGAATTCATGACACCTACTACATTATTTTAACGTTTTCRATTCTGATTCCGACTCTACAATAACGCTGAACATTTCTTCCTCTTAACAAACGTATAAGCGACTTGTTGTTGAGCATTATTGGGCACGTTAAACCAGAGATTACCACATTAGCCCTTAGTAGCATCAGAGAACGTGTATTAAAGAGAAGGTCCACCTACGGACAAGCGTGTGAACTGTTAAGAGCCATGAATTTTCTATTAGTGGATTTCACCTTTTTTGGCTCGGCAGGAGAAATTTTAATAGAAATGAGTGAAAAGAGCTGAGAGTTACAGACGCAGGTTGGCCTTTTGACTTATGTTTTTATACATTTACATGCATTATATCAATTGATATGAATATAAATTAGCGAATTTTTTTAATTCATGCATTAACATTATTATTAAATTATGCAATTCTTCAAGTAATATTTGGAAATAATGTGCAAATAAAAACAACTTTCTAAATATTTCTTATCTTATATAATATAATATATTTTCATACACATCTATATATATGCACATCTAAAGAAGCAGAGGTCAAGATCAAGGGGAAAAACAAGAGCCGGGGCYCTATTACTAGAGCTAGAGAAGGGACAGCGCACAAAGGCCGGCTTCTGTGAGGCACTTAAGTCCATTCTTAAAGAGACTGCAGCTGTGGCCGACCTTAAAACTAAGGCTACCAAAGAGATCAGAAACCTCGACTCGCTCACAACAAAAGAGGAAGTAGCAGWGGCTGTCAAAAGAGCGCTACAGGACCCCACTGAAGACTTATCAATCAATATAACATCTCCTAACACAAGAGAGCAGGTAAGGGCATACATAACGCTGGACCAGGAGAGAGCAGATACACTGATGCTACAGGCACGCATCAAAATTGGCTGGGTTAATTTCAGACTGCGGCTAAAAGAAACCCCCAAAAGCWGCGTCCGCTGCTTCGGACCAGRGCACTTAGCCTGGGACTGCAAAGGGCCTGATAGAAGAGGACAAGGCGTTTGCATAAAATGCGGCAAACCAGGGTACAAAATGAAAGAGTGAACGAAGCCTCCCTCATGCTGTCTATGCGAAGAGGCTAAACACGAAAAAGTCGATCACACCCGGGCTCCGCAAAATGTACGGTTTATAAACCACCAGATGAAGATACTTCAAGCCAACATGCATTGATGCAAGACCGCCGACGAGATAGTCATCATAAGCGAGCAATACAAAAAGAAAGAGAGAGGTACATGGCTAGAAGATAACAGCTCAACCGCCACTATATGGTTACTACCAGGAAGTAGCGCCACCACTGTAAGTAATGGGAACGGCAACGGTTTCGTCTGGGACAAGTGCGACCTTTTTATAGTAATTAGCTGCTACTTGACGCCAAGCGATAGTATACAGGAATTCCAAGAAAAGCTCGACAATATAGAGGACTATAGAAGGTCAATTRATTATCGCCGGAACCTAAACTCCAGAGCCGTAGAGTGGGGAATGCCAAACACTGACTCGAGAAGAAAG